TTGTCATCCTTGTGATGTATGTATATTTTTTTATAAAACGAAAGTAACAAAGGAACTTACAGTATCACTTGATGGTAAACGGCTACTGCAGTACATGGTCACCTACGGTCAGCTTTAAACAAAGAAAGCTACAAATGTGTTTTCACCCCTGAGGTACCCTGAGATAAAGTGCCTTACAGCTTATAATTATACAGGTTCTCTATACACGACAGGCCCGAACGCGGCAGTGTAACCACTGCTATTTATTTCTGTTTATCCCTCTCAAGACGTTTATGAGATAGGTATTCATTGTGCACGAGTTTTGCGAAAACATATGAAAGGAAAAATTATAAACGAAAATATGTTACAGGTGAAGCTGCGGAACGCAACTAGTTTTGTAAAGTAGTAATTAATTTGTATCTTTGTTTAGAAAAATAAATTATTTCAAGGAATACTGATAGAATATTATGTTATGATATTATTATCTAAGGAAATGTTTTTGTGACAACCCTTGCATATTTTAACGACTTGACATCGAGACAGCCTTGTAGGTATTTTGTGGTATAACAAAGAAGGGTATAACCCACTATTAGTATGTATTACACATGATTGAAGTATGAAACAAAATGCAAATTACCGCTAAGGAGAGATTTTTACAATAAATTAATTATTTTTGGTGGAAAATAACAAACAAATTGAGGATATAAAATGTTCTTTTTATGACACGGACATATCGCTCTGTATCGACAATTGAAGTTGATGCATGGCACAGTACTATTCGTCTCGCACACATGCACATTTCACTCACACTGGTACATTTCGTTTTTGGTCTAAATCCTAATCACTCCATCGCCAATCTAATGTATACCATATCTATGCTTTTTATAGTGTTAATATAAAATGGCTCAACTGCAGCGCCACCTATTGGGTCCAGATTTTGTAATTTTATTTTTTGCTCTAAGCCTATAATTTGTGCTTAGGTTTATTATTGAGTATATGAATAATTTGAGTCTAAAAATGAAGAATGTGGTCATTACTTTGCATTTGCAGCAATATTATTACTACAATACAGTGATACTGTTTGAAATTATAAAATGATAAAATATGAGACATATAAATATGTAACATAACAGTAACTAAGTCAGTATCTATATATTTTTTGAACTGCATAAATATTTCTTATTCTTATTATGATTTGTAGCACGAATCGGTCGGAAGGACCACGCTCTCAGAAAATACCAGCGTAAAATAGCAGCACAATGCTGCTGTGTTTCGAATGGTGTGTTTGGAAAACCGGAGGCCCTTTTACTGAAAACAAGGCAATCTATCTAAGTCTTCTTTCCTAGGATATATTAAGTTTTTGGGCCACATCATCCACTTACATCAGATGGACTGTGTGCTCTTTTGTCACCCTTATTCCATTAAAAAAACATGATTACAGCTCAACCTATCGGGTCTAAGCATAGCTTTGAAGCATCATCTGGACAAAAAGTATATATTGTGTGAATATGATCTCGATAAGTCGTTAGTGGCAACGGTAAAATAATCCATAACTCCACTTGTGCCGTGGGTACGTTGTGGGGCGACTAAAGTAAATGGAATGCACGAAGGAACACCACAAAACAAGTCCTGAGCCACCTACACGAACCGACTTCTTGCATGTCTTACCAGGTCGTCACTCCATCTAGTGGGAGGCCGCCCTACACTTCGTCTACCAGTCTGAGGCTGCTACTTACTTTCTTATCCATCGGTTGTCGGTTCTTCGAGCTATATGGCCGGCCCGTTGCCACTTTAGCCGTCCATCCGTTGGGCTATGTCGGTCACTCTGGTTCTATTACGCTAGTATTATTTTTAAGTTTATCCCTTCATAGCTCGCTGAACGGACCTCGAGTTTCCTCATACGCGGTCTTATACATGCTGATAAAGAAGCAGTAGGAAAATCTTAAATAAGAGTAAAGATTTATGCCTTACTACCGAAAGGCGGACTCATTCAGAAAATCCTAACAGTACAACCTAATAAAAATCTGCATACAAACATCGAAACGCGTATACCTGTTCCGAGTTCGGACAACAGATGACCCGAGACCGTTGACCCCCGCCCGTCCGTATTACGTGCACGTGCGAATATTAGCGATGTCTTATCAACAAACGACCGGCCGACCTCCTTATCTAATATAATATGAACGACAAAGAAGGCGCACCGCTCGCAACGTGCAAGCAGGTGAATCATCGCGTGACGAATCAAAGACGACGTCTAACTGGCCTCGATTTCGAAGTTTTGCCAATATTTATAAAGTACGGCAGGTCCGTGTTCGTCAGTTATACGAAATAGTAACGCTTCCCATTTATTTACGGTTTACTTTGTTTTTATTGTGTAGAGGCGGTGTAAGAATATCCACTACCTCATAATGTCGTCAGAGGCGAGAGGGAAACTGCGATTGCCAAACCAATTGCCAAGCATGGCAACTATGGCAAATATCACCTCTATGAAGCAATCTACATATGTTCAGCAGTGGATTTTAATAGGGATTTAAATAGTAACGATAACCTATTTTTTACCTTACTAACCCAGAAGGAGAGTAATGTTTTTCAAGAGTACGTGTGTATGTCTATTTCTTTGGCACGCTCTGTAGCTTAAACGATTTGATGGATTATATAACATAATTATGAGGTGTCGTTAGATTAATCTTAATTGTGGGTGTGACGTAGGGTGTATTTTTTTTCTTTTCAGTTACGCAGACGTTTTTTTAAATTATTGTTTTAACCTTTTAGCTTGTAATACTCTACAAATTTTATCTGCGCACCCTACTTATCGTGACATGGACCGTGCTTTGTGACATTCCTTAGGGCTTAGTGAATGCCCACGCTCAGAAGTGGACTTGTGAAAAGCTGTAATGATGATGATGATAATGAACCGATTTAGATTTACATTGATAAGTAGTGTACTAATCCATGTAAATCTAAATCGGTTCAGGATTAAGAAAGTGAAGGATTAAAAAAGGCGACTAACGGAATATTTGGTTAGTGATTGAGGGCGATGAGCTATAGTCATAAACACATACTTTTTTTACAATTTTCTATCTAAACCCATTTTTTCTGGCTAAACGTGGCGCATGGTCCGAGTAGCTCGCTGCTATTTGGACTCTGCCTACCTTTTCGGAGATTACAGGCGTGACGCTATTGTATTTATATTATGTATGTACTTTTTGGGCTGATTGAGAGAAGAAAAAATGTTTTTGCATATTATGTTATGTTTCATCCGAATTATATCGTAAGAAGATAATTTAGTTTATTAAATATTTTTAAGAGGTTATTAAATCTAATAAATTCAAAATTAGCTTAGACTATTGAAATGATGTAGCTGTAGATTTTGTTCATAATTACGCTTCCATATTGTTAACGAGTTCTTTGGCTGCTGTAACCAATTACTGTCAGATGGACTATAAGTTCCTTAGTCACTTCAATTTAAAAAACAAGTGTTAAAAATAAAACTTTTGTACAACCGACTTCAATATAAATTAAGGATACCTCAAAAATACTGCTCAGACCTTGATCACCAGCTCAGCACCAGTTTTCAAATGAAAAACAATCATGGAAATCGGTTCACCAATAAAAATGTTATGAGGTAAACCACATAAAAAAAACATACAGTAGAATTGAATACCTCCTCCTTTTTGAAGTCGGTAGAAAAGCTAGCACTAAATTTCATTAGTTATAAAATAAAAAATACGATTAACTTATGTAATATAACATAGAAGATTATATCAATAGAAAATAATAATGTATTTACCCACAGAAATCTCAATGAATTCACCATACAATGCACCACCTACAGACACCTAGGTATTCCGTGGGAACAGAATCTGTCATGCGTACAGGGCTTCGACCCCAGGACACAGACTGAGACGAAACTGTGTAACGTCAAATTTATATAAATGCATTTTAAGATAAGAACATTGAAAATATTTAATTTTACTACATTTATATAATATGTATTTATGACTATTGGGGAATTGGTTAGCCAATTTGTTTTGGGATTCAGCACAGGTAAAACACAGCAAAAACTTTCAGGTTTTTAAGTTAAATTTGATACCCGCTGGCAACCAATCGGCATCAATGAAATTGTTAATTATCTTACATCCTACAGATAATTGGTGTACCACGTAGTTGCGGTGAAGGAAAACTTCTAGACTCCTTAATAGAGGTCTGTGCTCTACGGCAATTTTTCAATTTTATAATTAATGATAATACTCGCGTTTGCTAAAACGAGGATGTCCACAAGTACCGACTAGAGATGGGAAAGAAAAGTTCTCATACCGCCAATCACAGTTTAAAACGATCCACGCTAGATGAAGTGACAAGTGACAACCTGGTGAGGCATATTATGGCAATATTGGATAAGGCCTGTACGAACTGTTGTGTCTTGTCCATTTTTTGGACTTGTGAAGGGTGGTACAAATAACATAGTTACAATATCTCTATACGTTCAACTGCTTGAGACAGAACCCGTCTATTTTCTAAAACCAAATAGATAAAGAGTATCCAATGTCCTTCCATGATAAAATGCACCTCTATTCTACGACAAATTTATTAAAATTCCTTCAGCCGTTACGCATTGAATGACAAACATCCAAACAGACAAATTTTTACATTATAAATATCTAAAGGATAAGGAATAAGCATTTTACAAGGATTTATTATTATGTTATCTTCACCGTGAATAACGGAAATTCGCAAATAGTCATAAAAAATTCTACGTCCTTGGAATTCATCCACAACCTAGATAAATTACGATCGCTATTTATCAAATGAATAGGTTAAGGAAACATATAACGTAACATAACTGTCTTTAAAAGGTCTTTAATAAACAATTCTTAATAAATATGAATTTATAACTAAAATCTGAGCAATTATTTTTATCTCCCTGGATGACGAAGTAAATTTAACTTATTTATATTTTGACAATAAGCATATTAAAATAAAGCTCTCTGTGTTTAAGAAATAAAACAAACCCCACATACCTTTCGTCGCAACCGGTATGGACTGCCGCGTCATATCCTAAAAGAAAAACAGATTATTAATATACATCCTCAATTAAAATATGTAAGCAAAGGTAAAGTTAACATCAAGCCAAAAATTTAGAACAAAAAAAAACAACTGTACACACAAAGAAACGCTAGAGTCATTAACTAAGCGGATGGTGCAAATAATAAAGATAATCACTTTGAAAGTAGAGGCTTATTTTACAAAAGCTAATACAAGAAAACCACGAAGTAGCGTAGAAAATGTACATTGCTATGTAGACGGAAAAATTGTCAAATTATCAATATACCCGCATCGAAAATTCATAAAAAAGAGAAATTTAAAAAAAACGGAGCCTTACGCATGCGGGTTTGATTTACTGCTCGAAGTAATTTTCAGTTACTACCATTTACTATTACAACTTTAAATTCTTATCTAATCAAGCTATAATAACTATTCAAATAAATTCATACCAAAATATACTAAACATACACTTTTTACAGAAATTATGATGAGAAAAAATAAATCGATTTCTACGCCGTATAAAAACAAAGGCAGGCGAAGTGTAGGGCGTCCCCCCACTAGATGGAGTGACGACCTGGTAAGATATGCAGGAAGTCGATGGATGCAGGTGGCTCAGGACCGTGCTTTGTGGCATTCTTTGGGGGAGGCCTATGTTCAGCAGTGGACTTGTGAAGGGCTGTAATGATGATGATGATAAAAACAAAGTTGTAATATCTTTGTTGACTTTTGTATCGATACTGTTTCCAAGCTTTCTCTTGAATGTACTGATAATGATTATCGTTTCATAGTTCAGATAAACCTTTTTAAAGAAGTAGAGTATGCTTTTACTAATAAGGGTAGCAAACGAGCGTACAGTCCAAATTATGTTAACTGGTAAGTGGACTTTGTGGCCAATAGATTCATTCCTACTTATCTGGTCAAAAATCAAAAATGCAGATACGTTGCCAACATCGAGAACAAAGATAGACTGTCTTGTTACCAGTAAAAATAATCTCCCGGTTTTCGTCACTCACCATACGAAACACAGCGGCATTACGCTGCTACTTTACGGTGGTATTTCTGAGTATACGAGAACAGCCCTGTGATGTTGGAATATTCTGTTACAGAAGCGGATATAAGCTCCTCGTTAGAAGTATTCAAATCCGAAGGATATTAATTTATAAACGTTGTCCGGCATTACTTTCGCATTGACTTTAAAATCATTTTAATTCATAAAAGTTATGTAAACAAATATCAAGTGCTATTGTTTCTTCAGAAGGGGCAAACGAGCATGCGGCTTAAAATGTAAGTGTCGACCAACAGTGTTCGTGTACGTATATTTATATTTGTTTGAAATTATATATATAACTTAAAGCCGTTCATTTTCTAATACAACGACTGACTTAGTTCTATTCACTCTTGTCTACAAGTGACACTCACATTGTTAAGTAGATAGACAGATCCAGGCAAACTATTACACTCCTTTGCTGTAAGCATTATGAACTACAAAGCAAACCAGTTTAGTTCGAATTCAGTTCAGGAATGTCAAAAACAAGGAGGTCGCGATTAGTCTAGGGTCTGGATGTAGCGTTGGTGGACAATCGCGTACTCTGACAGCCAATCCGCCAGCTGGCAGTCAGAAGTAACGGCTCCAATTTGAGAATTTACTCAACACTGAAATGTTTATTTTCTTTACATTAGATAGAGTGTGAATGATGTAACCCATAGTCAGATTCAGTGAGCTCGTGGGAATTTTTTTTTAAATACTAGCAATGCTGTTAACATTCCAGATCTTCCCTTTAACCACTCCTAGTAAGCTTAAAATGTTTGTGTTAAGAGTGGTTCATGAGAGTAGTAGAATGGCGGATTCGAACCCATGACCTTTAGGAGTTCGCGGTCCGCACCATTAGGCTACTGTCGCGTTTCCTGTCGTATTACCTATTCTGGCTGCAGCCATAACACAGCTACTACACTAAAAGGGTCTTTTCTCATTATTTGATAATTAATTTTAGAAAAAAAAATGCTACATCGTTAAATTACCTTTAATATATAAAGGTCATTTTTGATATGTGGAACAGATATATGTAACCATTATTAATTACACCACAAGTGGCATAGCGCGATGTTATTAATAAGTTCTATGCAATCAGCTGCAAAGAGGTCACACATGTGAGCAATTTACAAAAATCTCCTACGAATTCCCAAAGCGCACGATCATTGCTAATATTGCGAATATACCTACCTAACGACTTCGTTATAATGATGATGAGTTTTTTGTTCTAAATGTGTACACGAAAAACACTACTGGAATTCTTTTCCTCTTCGAATTATTGTCGAAATCATTTTGCTTTTGTATTTAGATTCCTGTCGGCATCAATGACTTACTTTTTTCCTTTGGTTATGAACTCGTTCGATTATAACTTTTGAAAAATATTACAAATGTCTGACTTTCATATTCTATCAGGTTATAATTTATTTGATGTGTAACTTTTATCTGTTGATTAGAAACTCAGTCCTAAATTATATATATATATATATATATATATATATATATATATATATATATATATATATATATATATATATATACCTGGTCAGGTCATAAGTATTGTCACACAGTAAAAACTTTTCTTTTAGAATGCTGGCCACAAAAAAGTTTATTGAATTCGAATTTCGAATTGTTCATGAAAATAAAACTGTACACTTTTTAGAATTTTACTCATTTTTAAATATGGAGTGGACACTTAAAGAAGACCGTGTTGCAGTTATTGCGTTGCATCGTTGCGGTTACGCGCCAATTCAAATTTTTGACATACTGAAAAATTTGAATATAACCAAAAGATTTGTTTATCGTACCATCAAACGATACAATGAAGACTCTAGTGTGGATGACAGGTCAAGAAGTGGTCGCCCTCGGTCTGTTAGGACTCCAGCAGTGGTAAAAGCTGTGAAGGCGCGAATTCAAAGAAATCCCAAACGTAAGCAGAAACTGTTGGCCCTTCAGATGGGGTTAAGCAGAACCACGGTGAAAAGGGTGTTAAATGAAGACTTAGGGCTTCGCGTATATCGAAGAAAAACAGGACATCGTTTGAATGCTCGTCTAATGGACCTGAGACTGAAGAGATGCCACGCTTTGTTGAAGCGGTACGCGGGAAAAAATATCGGGAAATTCTTTCTTCGGATGAAAAAATTTTTACCGTAGAAGAGAGCTACAACAAACAAAATGATAAGGTGTACGCACACAGTAGTGAAGAAGCGAGCAACCGTATTCCGCGTGTCCAACGAGGTCATTTTCCTTCCTCGCTCATGGTATGGTTGGGAGTTTCTTATTGGGGATTAACAAAGGTACATTTTTGTGAGAAAGGTGTAAAAACGAATGTAGTTGTGTATCAAAATACAGTCCTGACGAACCTTGTGGAACCTGTTTCTCATACCATGTTTTGTTAAGTTCATTTTGGTATATAAATGGTTACATAATGAATAAACTTGTTTCAATTATTTTATATTAAACATGTGACAGAATTTATGACCTGACTAGGTATATATATATATCCAAATTCTTCACTATGAGTTGATGCGTAACATTGCTAATGGAAGTTTAGACGACAGTTTAACTAAGCAGACAATTGATGACGACAGTATCTCTAGGCGCCAAAACTGACACAATAACTTGAGGTTTGTGTCACCATCGTAGCACATATTTAATTGCTTCTGTTATAGGCCACCTTCACGTGACATCCCTTTCAAGCCCTTGTAGAGTAACAATTAATTTGAGGTTAAATTTCTGTCAAAACTTCTTTACTTAATTAGTAGCCTAATTGCCATTTTAAGTCCTGAATTACGACCACATGCTCAGCGAAGAAGGAAAACATCGTGAGAAATCCTAAGTAAGTGATAAAATTAGTTTTATTTATATAATAATACAAAAAATAATAAGTCGTTTTTATGCACTTTTGTAATCCCTTAATCCTACGTTACAGTAGATTCCGAGACCAATATTTAATAGAATCAATAACTCCAATATAGTGTTTTTTGCAGGTATAATATATAAAATGTAATTTATTCTTCACTCGCATACTATTCCCAAATTTAAGAAATTATAATAACAATTATTGAGAATATTAATTTAATTTATAGACGAAAACAGGAAATGAGAATTACAATTATGTAAAGTTGCAGGTGGTGCTGGCGCAAAAGATTCCATTACCAGATTTCATCCCGTAGGTATCGTAAAAGACAACTGTAGGAAAGACTTCACAACCTCCATGGACAAAGTAGTGTCCGCCGAGTTGGCGAACTGCACATGTATTTTTATTTTTTTTCGCGAATAATTTTTTATTTCTCTGACATGCAGACTTCCTCACGATGTTTTCCTTCACCGATGAGCACGTGGTAAATCAGCACATAAAATTGCAATCAACAATTTATTTGGTGCCGGTGGGGTTCAAACTCGCATTGTTTGCGTACTGTGTTACGACGAGCGCTAAACCATTGAGCATGGCTCTATCTCTCTATCATACCTCTATGACAGATATACTATAATATACTTAGACCGACGACTGGAACCAGTACTCGTACTAGTTACTGGACAAGTTCCTACCTATCTAGGACTTTACGCTTACAATTGGCAAGGCCAAGGAAGAAGTAGGTACAATGTAATGTTCCGTAAACACAAGTTTTATTTAGGAGCTTATAGAAGTATGTACATTTATTTGTAGTTATAAGCTTCTACAAGAAATACAAAGTAGGTCGGCGAGGTGGAGTTACGTAATTTCCTTGTCGCTCACCGTTAACCTGTGCAAAACGGATTACCATCAGTGGATTCAGCCCTGACACAAATATTTGTTTTCTCCTATTTTAAAGTTCTCTCATGCCAATTTTGAATAGAGAGCATTCGATTAAAGATGTTCAAAGTTGTTAAGCTAAGATCTGCGCAAATAAGCAAAATAAAAATTTACTTTACCTTTCCTCAATTTCGTGTACTATCCCCGTCGTCACTAATCTTAACACACAGTAGGAAAGATAATTTAAAA